AGATTGAGGTGTACAAGAGACCCAGTATTAGATCCAGAAGTTGTTCTATACATAATCCTTCTTTGTGACAGGTCCTTCCTAATATGTAATTATTACATAGTACCTGATTGGTATTCATCTATATTCTCTTCCTGATATGTTTCCCCAGTTTTCTCTATAAGCATTTATTTTAAAGCTTTGACTTGACTAGGAATACAATTATGGAGACTAAAAGCTCAAAACATCTACTTAATATAATTTTCTAACATATTCAGAAATCCCACATAATGGTTAACCATAACAATAAGTCAATTAGAATTTGAAGGGAACATTATCTGTGATAAGTTACAGTTAGTGTGGATCTTAAGGAATATATATCTATACACACACACACACACACACACACACTCACACACATACCTTGATTTAAAATTGAAAAAAGAATTAATAATGACAAACTAAAGAGCTGCTTTTTAGGCAATTTTTTTCTTTTCCAGAAAATTACCACTCCTTGAGAGTCAAGTCTTTACATTCAGTGCATTGAGTTAGAAATCTTGCTAAACATGTTGGTAAAAAAGCAAGCTGCTTTTCTGTTTCAAGGTTTCCAAATTCCTGAAAGAATTTCTCTTAGCACTATCTTTGGGCAAAGCTCTTTTGTTAAAATTCTTTTTTTGTCCCTTCTGTGACAATATACTCTATCCATCATCTTACTTTTTTATTCCTACAATATAAATCAAGGTCTGTAAAATTGGTCCAAACAGGATTAAACTTTCTTGGAATTAAAGTCCCCTTTCTCACTGAAAGCCAGGGGTAAAGCGTCAGCACTTGAATTCTTATCAGGAATTTTAAAAACAGAATAAAAAAAAAACCCAAATATTTGCTTTTGAAAATTGCTATGAACCTTTTTTTTTTTCCTTCAAATTTTAGTGACTAAAATGAAAAAATATGGGTAACTTCAGAGGCGCTGAAAAGTTGTAATCAGATATGGCTTGAACTTTGGCATTTTGTGTTTGTTTTCTTTGGAAAGACTTTCTATAATACTTTCTGGTGTTTCAGTATGTATGCAAAAGATATTATGATTCATATGTACATATATTATCATGCTAAAAAGAACCAAGTATTATCTCAAAAGCAGGTTTAGTCGAGTTTTCTAACAAAACCAATTTATATGTAACATGGGCAGTTTAGATAGGCCACCCAAATTAAAATTAAAATTAAAACTTCTATTTCGGGATGAGAATCTCCTTCAACTCTTTTTTAATGTCCATATCAACAGGATAACAAATTTAGGCTGTTTTTAATGTCCCTTTTCAAATGTGCATTGTCTGTCTTGAAAATACAGACTTATATTGTAATGCCTTTTATAACAAAGAGAGCACGATATCTGTATATTATATATTTTCATCATATGCAGTAATGGCTTTGTGCCTTACTGGACATTTTAGCCTTGGAAATTTCTATTCTTTTTATAATTATAAAGGTTCTGGCAAAATAGATAAGCATGAATTTCAGATAGAGACCTGGACACTTTGGGTCCACCACTGTAAGCTAACCTGGCTTTTTGTTCTAGTTCTGATGTCACATCTTGGTGATGGTGGGGTGAGTCTTTTATCTTCCCCTGAGCCAATGCTTCTACATAACTCAAAGGAGTTAATAATTTCCTCTCTTGCAGGACAATAAGGGGTAAAGAGCAGGAGCAGATATAAGAAAGAACATGACAAATGATTGTAAATGAAAAGAAAATCCAATAAGCACTATATAAGGTTTTATATCTATAGCTAGGTTGTTCTGAAAAACCTCCAGGGAAAGACATGCTTCTAGAAGGCACACCAGAATGGATGGCAAGTTACCCTAGAGCTAGTTATCTTAAGAAGAAGGCAGAGCCTGCTGCACAGCTCCACCAGGCACGATCCTCCATGGGAATGTTATCTTGGAGCTATGAGGGCTCCTGTCATCTCCTTATGGATGATGCCATCGACATACTCAGAATGAAGGATTAATGATTTTCTCCTTGGGGTTGGGTCGCTGACTCTCATAAACAGATGTATTTAATTCTCACATTTGTCAGACACTGCAGGTAAGAAGCAGATGTACATGCCAGTGAGAACAATAAGACACATTGTGACTCATATGTTTTTTAAAAAAAATTTTGGCACTCAGATTTAGTTAGAACAGTAACTGTTTGAGATTTTGCTGTAAATTCCAAGATACTAATGCTGACTCTGTGGTTTTATTTATCTAAAACTTTGGGGGTTTTAACTCTACCCTCGTCAAGGATCAACTTCTCCCCGAAGACCCTGATTAGAAATTTGAGGAAAAGATGGAAATGAAAATAAGCTTTCTAAAGTGTGGGTTCATAAAAACATTGGTGATTTGAAAATTAATCTCAGTTCTAATCTATTGAAATAGAATCATTCTGGTTAAATCATTCTATATTATCTGAAATATTTTCCTCCATGATAATCTACTCAAAACAATTCTGATGGTTTAATCAGTGGCCCATATATTTTATAAGTCTTTGCCAAGAAAATCTTTCCAGAAACCACTTCTCCTATTTATGAAAGGAGAACAGCAGCAGGTACAGTAAGGAAGGGCTTGCTATTAATTCAGCCACATCATGTAAGTGATCATTAATTATCTTGTGTGAAAAATAAGAAGGAAAAGAAAGTATGCAATGTCTTATCCCAGTATTTGGAAGTAAGGTTAATCCAAGTTTAAGCCATTAAGTGACCACAATCAGTATAATTGTGTCTCACTGAGAAAGTCTAAGATACAGATTAGAAAACTCATTGACCATGTCACCTGACTCTGAAGTTAACTATTAAAAATTGCTTAAAACTTGAGAATCAAATATTAGAAAATTTCAGTACATCTTGCTAATGCTTCAAGGGTCTTTTGAGAACAAATATTCTTCCTTCCCTACACATATAAACCTTAATAAAGAATTCTAGAATGCTGCTCTGCCAATGTGGATTAGATTTATATCCAGATGTTAGAAACAAAAACAGTCCTATTAAAAGAATAGTAGGTATCATTCACTAAGAATAAATGGGAAGTTTATCATAAACCCATTGTGAACTGTATGAGCAACTTGTTATGTTATACCAAATTTAAATATTAAATATAATTATAAATCCATATGATATGTAAAATGTAAAATAAAAGTAAATGCTTTAGCTTTCTTTTACTAAGGTACTTGACTACAAAATTGGGAAGCATACAATTATGTATTATCCATAGTCTATATATTTTTCAAAATGTCCTTTTGAATTTATAGTAATTTATGGATCATACACGACTTCTCTAAAGTAACATGTTTAAACATGGAATAAAGACACCAAAAAAATAATACAAGGGGGAGAAATGAATGACGGTAGAGAAAGAAGAGGGGAGGGGAGGGGAGGGGAGGGGGGATCGTAGAGGATAGGAAAGGCAGCAGAATACAACAGACACTAGTAAGGCAATATGTAAATCAATGGATGTGTAACTGATGTGATTCTGCAATCTGTATACGGGGTAAAAATGGGAGTTCATAACCCACTTGAATCAAAGTGTGAAATATGATATATCAAGAACTATGTAATGTTTTGAACAACCAACAATAAAAATTAAAAAAAAAAGACACCAAGGGCATGCCATGTGTTTAAGGCCAATCATCCTGGAAGGCAGATCTGGATCCTATTTTGGCCTTTCAAATTTTCAAATTTATTTAATTATTGGAGTAAGGTGGTATTGGGGATTGAACTCAGAGGCACTTGGCCACTGAGCCACATCCACAGCCCTATTTTGTATTTCATTTAGAAACAGGGTCTCAGTAAGTTGCTTAGCACCTTGCTTTTGCTGAGGCTGACTTTGAACTTGAGATCCTCCTGCCTCAGCCTCCCGAGCTGCTGGAATTATAGGCTATTTTGTCTTTTTAGTCCACTGCTAAATGCTGGAATGCAAGATAACAGGTTACAATAATCCAAATCCTTATCCCAGTCAATTATCTTCTAAAAAGAAGAAACATCCATCTCAAGCATACCCAGATAGAAATTTTAGGATGCTCCTCCACACATATTTGAAAATGTATCTGCCTGTTCTCCATTGCCATAAATCTAAAGCCTTTGAATACATTATCTGTTCATCTTTTATTTGATGTAAAATAATCTAGTAGTTCACTACTGCAGGAGATTTTTATCCCCTAGGTGAGATTTGAAAAGGTCAGGAGATAAATTGGATTGTTATGACCCTGGGTAGAGGTGCAATCAATATCTAGTAGAAGCCAGGGATATGGCTAAACATCCTAAGTGGACAGGTAAGGTCTCACGACAAGGAATTATCAGGGCCAGAATGTCAATCACACACAGATTGAGTTAAATCTGCAGTCAATGTTGACCTCACCTGTCCTACAATAGAAATGTCTCTGTGTGAAAGAGATGTACTCACTCTGACCTTCTCAGGATGAGGGATAACTAATAGGCTTCGAAAACACATTGGAGCACTTCACACAGGTGCTTGAGTGAACATTTCCCTTTACATGATATTATGGCATTTGACAAATGTGAAATCATCTCCATTTGTCTCTCTGAGAATAAAATATAGACCTAGGAAATGAGGGCTTTACTGTTCTAAAGGTCATGAAGGCCTTGATCATCTCTTTGAATAGAAAAAAAATTACAGATGCTTTGCAGCAACCATATACCTAACAGAATAGTCAAAAGTAGTACCTTTCAAGTTTTATCTCTTTCACATTTAAATAGTTTCTGAAAGCAAAAGTGAGAGGAATTAGGCTTCAGCTGTTAACGATATCATTTTAAGACTTGTGCCAATAGGACCTTTAGAACCATAATCACGTGGCTTATTTTAGCTTACATTTCAAACTCGTGGTAAGAATAGGTATTAAGCATTTGGTAACTGTTTGGGGAATTTTAAAGGTTATTAAGTTCTGAATAACAGAGTCTCTCATGTTTTCCCACCAAGCTTTTCCCAGCAGTTGAATATATCTGGATTTTATTCTGTTTTTTTCATTCTTTTTTTAGCTTCCTGAAATGACTCATGTTCAATCACGACGACCCTGGATGATGTTTCTCCTGCAGAACATTGGATTGATCTTAGGTTGGCTTTCTCTCTTACTCTTGGCTATATATGAACAAAACATTAAAATATAAATTAAGATTCTCAAAATCCTTCAAAAATGAAGTCACATGGTTTCATTTCATTTCTTTTCTTGTATTCTATAGTGATGAGTAAATTATGCATTTCTTATCTCAAGTGAAGACTGTGCCTTGGAGTTCATTAACCTGCTAATTTTTAAATGCAATTTTGGTTCTGGAAATATCTAAAGGTCAGACTGAAATTTTTGTTTTTCTTTCCAACGCTGCGATTAATCTTATTAGTTTTTTTTAGCCATTAGTAAAATTTAATTAATTCTAGTAAACTTAAAAAATATTGTTTCTCTGCAGAAGAATATTTGCTCATAGTGTTTGAAGTACAGATGCCTGTTGGGATAAAATCAACTGTGACCTTTCTGATGTCAGCTTTACACTTTTTTTTTCCCTGTGATATTTTTAAATCAAAAGCAAACTAACAAAGAAACAAAATAAAGTCTAGTTTTAACATGGTGATTTGTATGACCTTCTATTATTGGATGTCAGGTGTGAAGTCCCCCCTTACCGCGCTGATATGGTATAGTTCACCTGGAGGCATAACTCACTGGCTAAAGAGTGCTCATGAACTTGGGAAACCCAAAGGATAATATGTCAGCATTCTTCTTCTAAAGTCACCAAAGGATATCTGCTCCAGGCTGGTAGAACTGGAAACCAAAGATGAAGTTTGAACATTTTTCAAATAACAAAGGTTGAGTCCAGGCCATAGATTAATGCCTAAATGCTCACAGATTGTGTAACAGGTAATATTTATGGAAATAATCTTCCTGACAAGTAAGATATGTTTTATATTCATTCTGAGGAAACACAGAATCCTAAATAGGATTGCAGTAGGTAAGCTTATGAAATGAATAAGCAACATTACTGATAACCTAGAAAAATTATTAAAATAGAAAATAACCCTGGCTTTAGTCATGTTTTTTTCTTGGAACATGAATGCCTAATATTTTTCCTGTTTTTTTTTTAAGTATTATCTTGACAAGGGAAAAAAAAGCCTGTTTTACTGCCAAAAATGACTCATGGTACTCAGTCATATGTCTCTCCTACCTCTTACTCACCAATGAGTAGATATTCTTTGCCATGCCCCCCCTCCAAAAAACACAATCTTTTTCAACCACTTTTCTTTGATTTCAAAAGGAAGTGGGCTTCTTTCCCAGTTGTCTTTAGAGTTTGTTTTTAAAGAAGCATCATTCAATACTGCAATAGTTCTCAAATTTGGGTGCATAGCAGGATCAACTAGAAGACTCCTCGGTAGGAAACAGATGACTGGCTTCATTCATCCCTGGAGTTTCTGATTCTGTAGGTCTGGAGTGGAGCCTGAGAACTCGATTTTGAACAACTTCTGGGTGGTGTTGATGCCGCCAGATAGAGTATGAGTCTAAGCACCACTGGTATGACAGGAGTCAGGAAGACTTGGTTCCAAGAAAGAACAGGTACACACTCTGCTGCTCAGAAGCTATGTGCTTTTGAGTAAGGAGGTTAACACTTCTGAAAACCTCATGCTAGACATGAGTTCCTGAAACTCGCTTCTCTTCATCCCTTTGGCTCGTAGCATCAGATCAGTTCTGGGAGTTCCTGGGACTCAAAGTACAGACAGTACTTTGAGTCACATTTACCCTGAAAGGTAAGCAGATTTGACAGAGTTTTGCCCTTCTTTTGTTAAAAGGATACATTGTAACTGAATAGAACATACCCTCGTATAGGTCAACACAATGTGGAGGCATCACGCTTCATTCCTGGTGCCATCTGTTTGGGTTTCTATGCCCAGGTCCTGATTTTGACATGAAGTCTTCATTTATACCCACTTAATTAGAACAGCTCTGATGGATGTCTTTTTTTTCTCCAGTTCAAGTTTAGAGTAGTCTGGAACTGGCTAAATTAAAATTTTTAGAATGAGCTGCTCCCTCTATAACCTTTAAATTAGACTTTTGACACTGGTGAGGCGAGGAACTTGAAGGGAGCCGACTGTCAGAAGGGGTATATATGTTAGAGAGTCATACTCAGTATCTTGTAACCTTATAACCAGTATTCCCTGATCCTCAGTAGAGACGGGGGTCACTCAGCGGTAAACCTAAGGAAAGTGTGACATAGTGGCTTCTAAGGGTGGCTTTCTAGCATCCCCATTTCTCCTCTTGAACTTAATGCTGTTTATTTTTTTTTCCTAATCCACACTGAGTTCCAGAAAGCAAACCACAACCTAAGATAAAATTGCTTGAAAATCTCTATTCCTCAAAATTGAGTGGTAATGATAAAAATATGATGCCAATTGTGTACCTTTTAAAATATTAACAGAGTCCAAATCTGAGATGGTGAAGATTGTAATTCTTTTTGGCAATATAAGTTATGTGTTAACCATTGATCTTTGAGGTAGATGGCATTTTCCTTGAAACCAGACTTTTCAATAATGTAACACTGTTTCTATTTCCTAGACCTAAATTTAGGATTCCACTGTATTTTTACTTGGTGATTGATTTATTTTTTCATCACTGAACTAGAAATGCTCCTGGAGAAAAATCAAAGAGCAAATTATGCAGAAATCTTATTTGAACATCCATCATCCACTGACAGGGCCATCTTTAGGGAGAGGGAAATTGGCCCATATACTGTGATGCAGAGCAGAGCCTAAAAAAAAAAAAATGTTACCACTACTGTGTTCTGATTAGCACCAGAGTCTTCCATGACTGTCCCCATGAATTGTGGCCCTTCTGGCCCTGACCCCCTTCAGAACCAGATATATAGGTGAGACTATGCCTGCCCTTCAGAGACACCCTTCTCTGGATTCTGCACATTTACAACTCCTTTTGCACTTCTAAACTGGAAATAAGGGGGGGATCACTCAATCACTTGGATAGGCTGGTCTAATCATTTGACCTCTTATGTGGTCACTAAGAATTCAGGCTCTAAATGGAAATCCAAGTTCAAAGCCCAGATATATTTCTGGGAAGATCGCATTTACTTTCCACAAATTAGGGCTAAGAAGAGACCCTACATCATAGGGTTGTGGTGACATCAATACGGGACTACCCATGAAGCGCTTAGCATAATACCTGGAAAATACTAATGGCTCAATAAGTATTAAGCCGCCGCCACCACCACCACCACCACCACCATCATCATCATCATCATCACCACCACCACCACCATAGTAGCTCCTGGTCCCTCCTTACAACACAGTTTCACAGTTTACCCTTCAGTATTGTTCCTTTGGTAAAGAAAATGTCTTTTCTTGGTGATAAAGGGAGATCAAACTTTTTTTTTAATGTTTCCGTAATCTTCTATAAGCCCCCACACCAGCTTCTTCCAGCCCTTCAAAGAAGCTGTCTATACCATTTTCACCTTGACTCACTTCCAGAGCAGGAGAGATGGCCCCCCTCTGATTTGCTGCACTCTGTCCCCCTCCCCAGGCAGGCTTTGTCTTTGTGGCATAATGCAACACGGTGTGAGCCCCTCTCTCTTACTGTTTGTCTCTTGTAGCAAGTGAAAACTTATTATGTTTCATGCCAGTTACACTTTTGAGGTTGAATAATGGAACCTGACAGAGAGGAACCTTCCTGAGGTCATAGTTATTGTCACAACTCGATTTCATCTCAGGGAAATCAAAACGTAGTTCAACTGATTTCCCCCTGTTACCAATGTACCTTGCTGAGGGAATGAAACCAGCCCTGGAAAGATTTTAGCACCAGGAGGGGAAATGGCATGTGCCTGCTTGAGGCCTGGCTTGTTTAAATAAGGCTGATGTAGCCTGTTCTTTGGGGAAGAGCACTAGGACAGAGAGGTTGCATGTGTCCAAAGGAGTGTCTCTCAGCCTGAGGGGATAAGCCCCATGTTGTCATGCACCCCTCAAAATCCAACTGAAATTTAGGAGAAAATGTGAGATGCCAGGGATGTTCCTCAACCCAGAGAGCTGGCCTCACACACCACTGCTTCTTTGAATGGCCTGTGAAACGTATTTGCACATCTTTCCGGTTTGTACTCCCACCCCTGCATCCCACTTCCTTCTTGGTTTTCTAATTGTTCATTTTGAGAAATGATAAAGAAAGTGCTCAGACCAACTCGCCATGGATTTACCACTAATTGTGTCTTCAGACCTGCATTTCCTCCTCTGAGAGAGATTAGGTTTGATGATCCCTTATGATCTCACTGAGAATTTGGCCTGTGGTTCTCTATAAGGACTCTCCCTCCAAAGGAAGTGGTGTTGCTTGTATCCTCCACTGCATATCAGGCAGCACATCACTTAGGGTAGAGTCTGTTGCTCTTATAGAAGTCTCTAGTATAGTATATAGTATTGCAGTAGCCATGGTTCAAATGGTGTTCTCCCAATGTTCATCTCAAGCCTGAACCTTTGAATGGGATCTTATTTAGAAATAAGGTCATTGCCACTGTAATGAAGTTAGGATGAGGTCATGCTGTATTTAGGTGGTGTCCTAATAAGATCCACCCACAGAGGGAAGATGGCATGAAGACAGGCAGAAGTGCTGGAGGGCTGTGGCTATAAACCAAGGAATGCCAAGGATTGTGAGCAACTACCAGAAGCTAGGATGAAGAAGACAGGATCCTTCCCTAGAACCCACAGAGGTCCTAATGATGCCTCGATTTGGAACTTCGAGTCTCCAGAATTGTGAGAGAATATTTCTATTGTTTAAAGCCACCCAATGGAATTATGTATTATGTCAGCCTTAGGAAACTCACAGTCTCTATAGAAGAATATCCCCCAAACATTAAAGTCTTGGGGTTCCCATAAGCATAAACATTTGAAGAATTATATTTTTAAAACCTGGGCTAAGAACTGACTTTAAAGCTGAAAAGTGTCACTAATGGTCCCTCCCTCTTTAGGTTCATTTGTTCAACAATCTTCTAGACAAACAGGATGAAGACATGGAAAACATGATTTGTAATTTTGTGGATGATGTAAATCAAGGAGATGTGTAATTATGTCTGTAAAATAGAATGAAGCTTTGAAAACATGACAATAATATTGGAAGCAACTTAAACAATGGATATTA